GTAGAATCTAAACCAGCCTTAAGCTAAGTGTTTTGTTTTGGTTTCATTAAGTGCATACCTGCATTTCTGAATTGCATATATAGGTCTTTCAATTACTGGAGAAAAACTTTTTTAATCTGCACCGTTTGATATAGTTCATGATAACCTTTTAAAGTTTTATTGACCTTCCTGAATTACAAATAAATAATTCAATTAAAAAGAACAAACTGTAAAATAGACTATTTTTGGCTTAGTACTTGGTGTAAAAGCCTATATTGCACTTATATTGCAGACTATAATTTTTTTGTCCTTTTTGTACATCCCTAAAGTTTAAAAGTTACATTTGAAAATTATTACTATTCACAACAATAAAAAAGTTCTCAGTACAACGATGTACAAACACGAAAAAATAATATTTTGTGCTCAGTTTTAGAAAATAAAATATATCAAACTTTTCATTCACATTGATAATTCACCTGCATGGCTGAAATGATTAGCTTTGATGATCTTTGATCTAAAAATTCATACCTGTGAAGTATAGGCAAAGTCAATCAGCAGCTCCATGGCTCTCTCGTCAATATCCCGGATTACCACTTCAGTCTGTCTGCTCTCTGCCAGCTCCCCAGTAAACATCGCCCTGAGGAGACCATCAGAACACGATGCTGTCAAAAGCTAATGAACCTCTTCTACAGAATTCATGCAGGTGCGAATCCAAAACAAAGTGCATCTTCATACCTGAAGTAAGGGCTGCAGGCAGACAGGATGACACGATGAGCATAAATCTTCTTGGCGCCMACCACCAGTACGACGTCACAAAGCTCCCGGTGTTTTCTCAGCAGGTTGATCACTTCCAGGGTCTGCCGCGGGTGTTTGTCTGACACATAAGGCATGCGTGCTGGCTGGGGGACCCCTTCAGGGAGCTTATTGGGGTCCCCCAGAGTACAGCGGCTGGTGATGTCCATTCCAGTGGTGTCCTGACGTGCACTGGTGGCCCTTTACAGTAAATATATTTACATGGTTACAATTTGGTACCTAAACTAATTGTGCTCATTTGTAACAGARCAGCTTCAGATTTTTATTTTTAATGGGATTTTATGAATTCACATCGTGTTAAAATCTATAACTATCCAATCATTTGTGGTAAATAAWACAGCCTATTATCCTCATTTCTTTGGTCAAAGAGCAGAGATTAAAAAGCAATTACCACCACATTCATGTCTGTTTTGATCACTTATTTTACAGTACAAATACTGTTTCCTATTATGTCAAAATGTGGAAACACTTCTGTCTATTATACGCAAAAACTTGCTCTTAATGCAAAAGAACAAGTTGTGAAAGCTTAGAGATGTGGTCTCATGAAGTCTAACAATATTTCTTTTGACCTTTTTTAAATGTTCCCTTCACAACAGCAGGAAACCATGAGTCAGTGTGACCTTTAAGTAGTCAAACAGGATCAATAGTTAGAGTTAACAGGCTAAATTTAAACTCCAGCCAAGAGAGTTGCATACAAAAGAGTAAAAACAAAGAGGCTGTTTATTTATTTATTTTTCTTTCTGAAAGCAGAGGCAAAGTGGTGWGGCTCAGCCCTGCGATCTCAGCAGTTCAGCTTGGCACACTGCGATGGAGGAGCAAGTCACTGGGTTTGGCATGGCACAGCTCTGCTACAGAGATCCAACTTAAGTTAAATGGAAAATCCACATTAAATGTCAGCACTAGAAAAGTGTTTAAGTTCCTGTCTTAGACTCAATTTTGATTGTAAAAACTGCACAAAACACAGATTAAGTCGTAGCCTGTCTGCCATCAGCTGAACCAAATATAGTGAGGTCACTAACCCGTACATGTAGCCGTCAGTGTAAAAGTATCCATACTCTACTCAGTGTGTCCCCAAGTCTTTTTAGAGAAGGGGACACGGGCTCAGTTTGGGGCTGGGACTCATGTTCACAAGCTGCAGCCAAAACTCTGTGACATTTAAACACATCCATTTCAACAGATGTCACCTTCATCATTATGATCAGGCCTCACACTCAAATAGTTTTATACATGAATTACCTCATAAGGTTATGTTTAATCTAGTTCTAGTTAAATTAAATTGCTCTTAAGCACTTTAAGGCCTAATATCCATCAGTTACTTAATTGTTTTTTTTTTATTGTTGTGTAAGCTGAGACAACTTTGGTACATCTTCCAAAACAGTCATTAAATCAAAAAGAGTGCTCCAGTTTTACAAACTCAATGTATGTCCAGTAAGAAACTAATCAAATAAAAACATTTTTACAAATTATTAGTGTATATTGGGTTTGAGGACTAATTCATACTAATCCTGCTGCTTTTATTTTGATCTTTGTGTCCCATAACAAAAGAGGTGCACAGCTTTGGGCCATTTTTTGCAGGCTAGAATAAAGTTTGTAATGAACTGGATACTGGGACTCAGTCTTGTCACTGGTGCAACTTTTAATTAAACTAAAAATATGTGTGAACTAAAGTGTTAAGAAATGGGAATGTATTTTCTTTGCCCACAACAAWGCATTATGTGTAAAATCAGATGTTCAACTTATTCTTTGATTTGATTGGTTTGATTACCATGACTTGAGTAAACTTAATGTGTTATATCAGATCTATATATTCTGATCAGAGGAAAACATATCCTTTATGAGCAATACTTTAGTCAATTAAAAAAACAATAAAAATAAAGAATTTTATTTTTGTACCCCTTATATTGGGACTAGCTGCTCGTCATTGTTATTAAAACATTGATTGGACATAAATTCAAATCTCTTTTTCATTTTTTGATCAACCCTATAGCAAATAGTCGTGTTGCACTTTAAAAAATACAATTTTTCTTTCTCTGAATGAGCATTAATCTGTTTTATCCCCCCTCAACATCACAACATTTACCTTGCTACAGTTCACTTAAACAATTGTTTGGAAATCTAACACAACACTCACATCCTGTATCACATTTCTACCTAAACACCACACCCACCTGCGCATTGGCTTTGCGTCCTTGCACTGAAGAACAATATGTGTGTTGACACTTTCAAGTTAGCCTGGAGAATAACAATAAAAAAACATATATATATATTCAATTTGTTTACATCCAGTTCTGGTCTTTAAACCAGCTTTTTAAAGCTTGTATCTGTTGTGTTTACAATAAGCTGCTGCAAATTTCTCTTTTAAGAACAAACTTGTGTTTTTTTTYCCAAAAGGTTTGTTTCAGTTTATCTCAGCCTAATAAAGTTAGTTAATCTCACAACACAACAAGGTGGCTTTTCTGATTGTTTACCATTAGTAACTGTACTTTCAGACATGCCATAATCAGAAAACRCTTCATTTAAAAGACACTACAAAAGATGTGCTAATAAGTAGACTACTGACACGCACTGACAGTATTTAAAAACACACCTTTAAATACAATGGCACAAATTCCTTTAACCTAGATAAGGTTAATTAAATATGGAGACGAGAAAACTAAACGCATAACTTATTGCTAAAATCCCTGGACAATACTATGAGCTTGATTTGTTTGTATCGCCAATTTAAGTCAAAACATTTCTATTGTCAACCCAGTTTGTTCGCGTAGCACTTAGCTTAGCTTAGAGTAGCTAACTATTGCTATCTTCTTGAAAGTCAGCTAGTTAGCTAGCTAACAGTGTAGCAAGGAATTGTTTTATTTGGCTAGGAAAGCATCTGGGCCAAGTGTTTATGTAAAGACATATAAATTCAACGAGGCACACTCGCCTCTAAACGTACTTTTCAACATGGGGAGGCTAAGCTCAACAGCTAGCACTCTCAGTTCATTCGGCAAATCCTTCATTAATTTTCAAGATACAGCAAGTAGCATACAACAATGATACTTGCGCTTTGTTGCAGTGCCTTTTCAGGATATTACTGACTTCCATTCCTAGCTTAACATCATCAGGTTAAAAAACCAATAAACATTGAATATAAGCTGTGCCAATAAATGTTCATAGAACTGAATCATGTTGGCAGTAAGATCGACAGCAGTGTGGCACAAAGCAGACGTTTTCAAAATGTTTTGTTTTTACCTTAGATTTCCATCCCAAAATGTAGGGGAAGTCTCCCTGCTTTCTGGTGTTTACAGTTTTTAGCAGCTGGTAAAGGCAGATGCCGTATGTCCTTATGTGCATGCCAAATGCTAAGCGCCACTTCCGGGGAGGTCGGGATGACGTCATTTTATAAGTGTATGGAATCCCGTTTTCGCCGCTTTGATTAAATAAGCTCTTCAAACTTTGTTTAGCCTATTTAGCTACATCATTTCTATATCTAGATAAAAATCCACAACCTCAAAAAAAATTTGACTGTAATAACAAAACGTCAATGTAAAAGTCGAAACAAACAGAATCAGGCTTGTCTTTCTTTGCAAGAAAAACAATTGAATCAAGGTGAATTGAAGAGAATCTGCTCTGCGTTCCTCTTCAGAGGTTAATGTTTTCTGTCATGTCTGTAAAATATGTGAACAGTTGGCAACTGTGGAAACAGTCCAAGTGACTGATAAGGGTAAACAAAGGTAATGTCCATGGAAGACCTGTTTGGGGCTGAGTCTAACAGACCAGCCAAATGTAGCTTAAATGTGCCATTCAGCAGACGGCTTTGTTTACATTAAGTGTCGACCCACATTTCAGAGTTAAATTCTGAGCAGTATGCTTGATGTCAAAATTTGCCTGAGTAGCTTTAAATCCATTTATTTGTCAGTACAAAAATAAACTTAGAAATTACAGTCAGATTAATGTATTTACACTTGCAGTCCACCAGAGTGTTTTTGTATTTTTATTATTTAAAACAGCATTTTGTGATCAYTTTAACATTGTGCCCGCAAATTTGTCGTTTTAAATTTTAAATTTAAATTTAAAAAATCTAAACGCCACTGCTTTTATGTTTTTAATTCAGTGTAGATAAAAAAAAAATAGGCCCTATTATTTACTGTGATTACGTCATCGCCCCGCCTCTAACCTATGACCCCACGTGCGCCGCGTCAGGCGGAGGCGGAACAACAACAACAACAATGGCGGCTGACATGATGCTCGCGTTTGTGCTGCAGATATTACAGGAGCTTGTGGCTCAGCTTCAGCAAAACCTTCGCATTCTTTACCACCTGAACGAGCAGACGAGGCTGATGAACAACAGCATCCACCACATACTCGACTCACCGCGCAGCAGGACCCGACGGAGGACCAGGAGGCTCCGGGAGCTCTGGGTCAGACCCGGGAGAAGCAGCAGCTGGTGGGACAACTTTGTGAACGGCGCGGTCGAGGACAGCGACTGGAGTGAAAACTTCCGCATGTCCAGAGCCTCGCTCGTCGCCCTGACTGAGCAGCTTCGCCCGTACGTCGAAGGCCAGACGACCAACATGAGAGCGCCCGTTGACCCGCTGAAAAGAGTCGCTCTGACGCTGTACTACCTGAGCGACGGGGAGGGGGGTCTGCGGAAGACTGCCGACGCCTTCGGAGTGTCGCGGCAAGCCGTGTCCGTCATCCTCAGGCAGACGTGCAAGGCCGTGGCGACCCACCTGGGTCCCAAATACATCAAACTGCCTTTCACCRAGCCCGAGGCCGAAGAGCTGGTGGTGGGCTTTTACGACGCGCACGGCATGCCTCAGTGTTTGGGGGCGGTGGACAACACCCACATAGAGATCAAGCAGCCGTCCGTCAACGCTGCAGACTACATTAACAGCAAAGGCAGATACTCGCTGAATGTGCAGGCCGTCTGCGACTACAAATACACGTTCATGGATGTTGTGGTAAAATGGCCTGGGAGCGTGCACGATGCTCGGGTCTTTGCTAACTCCAGGGTCAACTTGTGYTTTAAGTCTGGCAAAATTCCTGCTCTGAAAAAGCAGATCATGGACGAGGAGGAGGCCATACCGATGTTTCTCCTCGGCGATCCAGCCTACCCTCTGCTGCCTTTCCTGATGAAGGAATACTCAGACGGATGCTCTACTCCTCAGGAGCAATACTTTGAGATATGTCTTTGCAGCGCGCGTATGGTCATAGAGTGTGCCTTTGGTCGCCTCAAGGCGAGATTTGGTGCTTTGAGGAGACCCATGGACATCAACCTGAGGGACCTGCCCCATGTCATTTATACTTGCTTTGTTCTGCACAATTACTGTGAGGTCAGCGAGGAGACCGTGGATGAACACACTTTGTGGGAAGCGATGCAAGGCGACAAGGACTCACAACCTCCTACACAAAGCAGTGATTATGTGAGTGACTCAAATGAGGAGGGAAAGAGAATTAGGAGAGTTCTTACCAAGTACCTTGACCCATAAAACTATAGCACTGCATACATTGTATCAGTCACTTGTAAGTACTTTTCACAAAGAGTTGTGTGGAATGATGAACACATTTCTGCAAAAACTTCTTGAACTTTTTTTTTATTGAAACATAAAATAAAGTTCTAAAAAAATGTAAAAGTGTAAAAATAAAACGTGATTATTACATAATCCATAAATTGATTGTGTACATATTAGACCAAGTGTACCAGCCTCATAGGTCAGAAGGGGCAGGTTGTCCCCAAAGTGGGCGTGTCCTCCCTGGACTGGTAGTTTAAGGTCAAGACACATGATTGGTCCAATCCAAAGTCAGGAAGTAGGTGTTCCTCCAAAACATGAGCATCAACAAAAGCCACAATATAAACAGATTTCAAACATCCTTTAACTTAAAATATTAACCAAATCAGATGTTTTCTAGTTTCAATTTTTATTCATTAAAGTGCTGGGGATTATTTATGTATAATAAAATCAGATTATTGTGCCAACAATTAATACTACCTACTGAATTATAACAAAAAAAGTTAAAAATTTATAATTGTAGCATAATCTAAATTTAACCATGTAATTGTTATGTCAGATCTCAGGGTTCGTGTGGTAAATTTAAGCTGCTACAGCAAACTTTAAACGTTTATCTGTAAATTTAACCAGATTTGTTCTTGGTGGGGTCTTTAAGCTGTAGCTGTCATATTGAAGATGTACATTCAATACTGAAAATTTAATAAGCACTTTTTTTTCCCAGTGATCATTGAGGTTTTTTCTAACAGTGAAAGACACAAACACATACAGGCAAAAACATAATTATCCTCTTGCCTTTAGGGGTGGGCAATAAMGTTTTGAACACAGAATAATTGAAATATGGATGTGTTTCATCATGTGTATAAAAAAAGATCAAACTGGAAGCGCTCACACACCAAGACCCTAGGATCCAGATGGTGATCCAGCCTGCCACCAAAATTGAATGCGACCAAAAACAACCTTGGCAGCAGTAATTATTCCTTAGCATAATCTTAATGTTTTATTATAAGGAGCTTGTTTTATTATAGAACATTTCAGGATCAAAAACACATTTCCACATGCTTGAACTGTAGGAAAGACTTCAAATATKTTGGTCCAATAAACAGAAAAGTCAAAAGACATTTATTCTGACACTATGGCCCAAGTTTACTGTTGGGCTTGAAGTACACTGAAAGATTGCATTTTAACAATAATTTGGTCTTTTTCATGGAAATCAAAATTCACATAAGTTTAGATTATGCTGCAACAAACTAATTTAACATTTGTGYCTTAATTGCTATAAACTTTTTAAGAGCGGAAGAAGCCATTTTTATTGGAATTTGCTCAAATGTAAGTTGTTGGCACATTATTCTGAGGTTATTTGAACACAAATTGTGTTTTAAATATTATRTACACCTATATTAAAATCCAACCAGAAGACATCCACATTAAACAGTCCTTCCTTCTTAAATAAATGCCAGAGTATGGATACTAGAAGTTGTTTATCCTTTAGCTTCTTAATGATCACCTTGTGAACCTTTAGAGAATGTAAGTTGGCACTTCCTGTTTGTAGCAACTTCTTCAGGCCTTTTACGTTTCACAAGTCCATCTCTTTCTTTCTTTTCCTGCCCTTGAAAAAGAGATCTGTGATCKCAWTGGGATTTGTCTTGTTAAATAACGGCAAAACTTAGGAACAACGTAATGTTATTCCTATTTTAATGTTACATTATTTCCTGCAGAGGCAGTTTTTTTTCTTGTTGGAAATTAAAAGTACTGTCTTCTCTCTTGCATGCAATTACTGCATTACGTGACCTTTCATCACATTTGAAATCTGTAGAAAATGAATGTTTGAAAATGCAGAAGCATGATTATTTACTATGTAAATCAATAAAAATCCTAACTTCAAACRATATCTGAGGTGTATCTTGTTTATTTTACCAAGAGTAATGTTGCGTCCATTCACGTGGGGGGCGGGACTTGAAACTAGGGATGTCCCGATCAGATACTCAGTATCTGTATCGGTGGCAGATATGGCCATTTTTTTGAAAATCGGGTAGAATCGGATTTAGTCATGTGATCGGGCTGATCCAGTTTTCAGCATCATCATGCTTAAAACTGTCGTTAAGAAGTCAAGACGCACACAAGTATRCAACCATGTCCACAGTGTGGGAACACYTCAATGGAAAACAAAGATGCTGAAACTGCATCTTGCAAAATCTGCAAACTGGATGTTTCTCGTGGTGGGAACAGCAGGGCTCGCTTTAATACTACCAACCTTGTYACTTGGAAAGAAATAAAGCTATCGGATCGGTATCGGAAARACTAATCATTTAAAAAATCGGATTGTATCGGGAGCCAAAAAAATCTGGATCGGGGGACATCCCTACTTGAAACTAGCACTGGAAGCAGGCCCAAGTTGGAGGACTAAATATATGCAGTCTATAATGTACGTGTAAATTAGTTTCCAAAGGGAAAAAATAGCTATTTAAATATAAAAGACAAGAGAGAACCTTTTTGAAGTATAACTGTAAAAGCAACAACACTTAAAGCAGTTTTAGTTCTATCTGCTTAACGCGTTGTTGTATGAGTTCCTTCATCAGCGAGAGGCTCTCCTGAATCATCCGAGTACTGTTCGCAATGTTTGTGTTGATTTGCTGCAGGTTTTCTGCGCTGCGTCTTTCAGATCGCTCCATTAGCTGCAGCATCCTCCTCTTTATCTGCAGGTCGTCCAGCTCTGCGGGTTCAGCCGGGGGCTTCCTTTTCACCGTCTCATTTCTGTTGCTGTCCAGGTTTACCTTGAACAGAGCAGGGCAAACAGACATTATTATTATTACACCAAACCAAAGGCTAAAAATGGTTTCAACAGGGAAATAAATATGCTATGTCTGCATATGTTAAAATATATAATGAATCTTTTRTAATCACATGGCTGACCTGTACAACTGATTAACCTTCAGTCAACCTGATTCAAGATGGCCACCAAAACAAACACTCCCCCTTCTTTTAACCACCTCTGTATGAAGGGTTTCAACTCATATATTGTCTTTAACGTCAATTTATCTCAATTTGATGTAAACAAATATTAAAATATTAAGTGTTTTTTTTCCCCCTGTGAAATTATGTTAGGGCAAAAACTTTGTATTTGCTTCCAACTTGCTTGTAGCGTTGAAACTTACCTCAGACTCCTCACATTTAAAACCAGTTGGKGGCTCTGTTGCCGGAGACGTCGCCCGGGTAGAAGAAGGTGAGGAAGAGTCGGCGATGTCTGCCGTCTCAAAGCCGGCTGAGATGGGGGTCGCTGCGGGCGACCGTCCCCATATCTCCTCGCACAGCCCAAAAAACAACAGAAGAACACGTCCTAGCCCCCTGCGACGCCCCRTGTTCAGCGCCTGCCTGTATTTCCCTCGAATGCTTTTAATCTTTGTGCTGATCTGGGCTTTCGAGATGTTCTGGATCTGGTGAGGAAAATCCTTCCCCTCAGCCATGCCCGTCGCCGGATACTGCTCCAGAAAAGCGTCCATTATGTCTGCATATTTGGATTGGCACGTCTCCCAGTCAACACCGTCCTGCTCCTTGGTGGTCTTATAATTCARTGTGACACGGAGCAGTAGTTCTGCTTCGTCGTCGGTCCACACAAAGGAATCATTTCTTCCTCTCGAACTCGCCATTTTAATGTTTTGTTGTGGTTCCCCGCGTGTACGATTTATGCGCATGCGCAGCATCTTGTTTTACGGTTAGGTGCGTTTTTTTCCTGACAATGTTATACCGCCATCTAGAGGCCTTCTATAATAACTACATGGTTTTCTGTCGTTTTCTTCCTTTTCGCGTGGATAAAACTTTTATTTAAAAGGGTGCYGAGTTTATAAAGACATTTTAAAGACAATAATAAAACATGTGATTTTGGATAAATACCGTTATTTGTGGACAAGGACTCAGGGTGTCCTGGAGCACTTCTGATTTAAGCCAATTCAATTCAGTTTWTTTATGAAGTGCMATTAAATGTCTCAGGGTACTGTACAAAACCATTCACATACATTATAAAATGCCCATGAATACACATAAAGGAGTCTCTTTATCTGCAGCTTCCATGGAATTCACAGTTGAACAGACAATAATCTGCGTTGGTTATGGTTTTAAGAAATCGTATCCTCATATATTCGCCATAGTTTTAGTTGCCAACATTTTTACCCAAGCACTCTTAAGTTTTTTTTCTCTTTGCTGGGAGTATATCAGAATTTGTACTTTGAATACATTCCCCGTAGGGTTTTGTGTTGTTTTTACAAAACAGCAATTTTAGATCAAATGTAGACTAGTGACTAAACTGAAATTACAATGATCAATAGGCCTGTAACCTTAGTGTTACAGAAACAACGTAAAAATGGACAAGAAAATGGGGATTTTATTTTATTTTATTCTATTTACTTTTAGTAATAGTTGCWGGCTTTTGAGTTTAGGTTTCAGTTTAAGAGCACGTCGTCTTCTTGCTGGAGAAAGAACATACTAAAAATGTTAAGCCACACAGAAACCCAGTTTACAGCAAATTTAAGCAAATTTAAAATACACAGAGAAAAAATCATTAAAACTCTCACCATACAAAAACCCACTAGAAGGTATTTTCACATTATGTCTTTTATTGTTTGTCATAATACAATAAGGTTTTGGTTTTCTACGGTTTACTCTGGGTTTGAGAGTCTGGAAAAGAAATGGAAGTGTTTATTTGCAGTTTTTTATTTAAAGCACATTGAGTTCTACATTTATTTATTTATTAAAAATACTACACAAATCAAATACTTTAGTGTATATTGTGAAAATCTGAACTGCAAAAGTATTTGCAGACTCTTGTGTGCTTAATTAATTTCATGACCTTTAAAAAAAATGAGTGAATACAAATTTTATCCAACTACTGTAAAAGGAACAAAAAAGCTGTTTTTGTTCAATTATTTTATTGCTCCTGGTTCCTCTTGTAAATATAAAAAATGGGATAAAATATACCAACCTTCACTGAAAAACATATTTTAATAGTTTTCAAATATACAAGTATGTATTGTCTGCTGTCCTTATGATTTAGAAGTAAAAGTTTATTTAAATATGTCAACAGATTCTCTTTTAGCTTCATGTTTTTGCAAAGAAACCAGTTGAAGTCAGATTAATACAGAATTACATTTGTTTTAATATTCTGAAAACAGCTGAATACTACAGTAATTCTAAATTTGTACTTTTAAGTACAAATTAAGTAGATGTATTTGCACTACTTGTTTTAAAAGACTTGATAAACTATTCAAGAATAAACTTTGTGTTGTAGCAATAAACTTTGATCTCAGATCAAATGTGAAGGTCTTAAATCTCCCATAATGCGGTTCATGCTTTTGGTAGAATTTGGTCTTCACAATCTGATGAAACATTTATTCTACATCCTAGTTTGCAAATAATACAGACCCCAGACGTGTCCAACATTTAATGCATGGATGTGTAGAATACAAAACGCTTATCATTATTTAAAAAAAAAGGCAGTCCACATCAATATTCTGTATTGAACATGTTTACAGTGCCAACTGAAAGTAAAAAGAAAAAACTCGTTTTATTACTGTATTATTTCAGATTGTTTTACTTTGCAGTGTAACTTAATCATTTAATGATTAATAGGTCATTTTACAGGAAAAAAAAACATCACACCTGTGAATTCTAATATTTTCCAGTTCCATTTGTGCCAAAAAAATAAAAATAAAAAGCTTTCAGTCAAAACTAAATTTTATATAGGTGTTTTCGGACAGTCACTCATTTCATTTAATACACTAAATAAGTTAAATTCATAGTATACATATTAACAAAAAATATAGCAAACAATTTGCCATTACCTGTGACTTCTTCTTTGAATAACAAAAAGTGATATTTATTTCTTTTGTGTGTCTGCTCACAGCTAACAGTGACAATTCAGTGCTTTTAATTTGGACGGTAACATCCATTTACTCCACACAAACCTCACAGAACCTTTATTTAGTAGAACTTTTCTTTTTATCCACTCAGCCATTCTGCAGCCTGTTTAGATGAAACTCAAGAGTGGCTGACTGGCAGCTGGGACAGTGGAGTGGTGATGATTGGCTGAAGCAGAAGTGGGTCTGAAGTTTGGACTGGAACGAAAAAGGAAAAAAAATCTTGAATTATTTATCATTTTCTAAGGAATGACAGTAGAACAATTAAACAATAATAATTGTTTAACATAAAAATAAATACATAAAAAATGATTTTTACTTTAGTAAAATGTGATTCATTCATGGTCAGGTCCTTTTACCAAGATTAGCATTGATTTGGTTGTTTTTCAACAGTTCTGCTTTGAACGTCTTACCATCCATATACGTCAGAGTAGTGAGGAGGGGTGTTTCAGAGGAAATATAAGCTGTGTACTGAAGATCCTCCATCATAGGGGGAGTTAGCTGACCAGGAGCAAATGATGTCATCATGACTGAGGAGGGCTGATGAGGAGAGATGTGCTTCTTCTGACGAGCTCGACAGTTCTGAAACCAAACCTGGATGGAGAGATGGCACTGATGATGGTTCTTGAGGGTCAGTTCTTATTTTAATTTGATGATGACTCAACTACTCTAAAATGTTTTACTTTTCCTTTCTGGCAAGAAAATTGCCTGAACTGTGCAAAAACACAAAGATGTCTTGCGGCAAAGACAAGCATCCATTAATATTTAATGTTTTTGCAATTTTTTTTATTTGATGGATATTGAACTAAAGCTTGATGTGGTAACTGACACATTCTCTAAAAACACATTTCAAGCACTAACATTTCTTGTGAGATCTTGTAATACTGCAGACGCTCACACATCCTGTCATTAAAGTTTGACCAAAGCAGCTATAACTTTGTTTCAATCATAAGATGCTTTTATTTTAAAATTCTGGCATGAAAGCATGAAGAAGTTTTTCCAGCTTCAGCTTCTAAACATCAGAGACTCCACAGCTTTGCACAACAGTAGAGCTTCTGGTACACATTTCATTCATTCATTCATTCATTCATTTTTGTGCACAGATGCACAAAATATGCACAAATACAGAGCTCAGTAAGACTCCACTTGATGTTTCATTTTTTAAAATAGCTAATCTAATGAGCTTGATAGTTCTAGCAGCTTTACCTGAATGACTCTGCGACTGAGACCAGTCCTCTCTGCCAGTTTCTGCAGAGTCTGGGCATCTGGGTTGTTATCTTTAGCAAATTGGGCTTGCATTACCTACAGATGGASAGAAAACATTCTACTGTATTACACTATTAAACTTACTCAATGTKTTTATTCCATGTATTAGTCCTTGTTAGAGAGCACAGAAGCATCTTAATAGGCTGAACTCATTAACATTGCCTCTCTACATGTTCAGCAGCTAGAAACAGCCTCTTGCTGTAGCTTTTCTATTATTTAAGCATTTGCTTACTTAAATATACTGAGATTTTAGTGTTGAACTGTTACATAAGTCCTGCAATATCGACATGATCTAAATTTCTTCCAGAGGATGAAAAGAGGCACATCTATAACATTTCAGGTTTGGGGTTGTGTGTGTCTACATTCAACTGAGTGGTGTTGAACACAAAACCAATCTAAGTAGCCTCATCCACACCTTTAAGAGATGCTAAAGAAATAACAGCTTCTAAACTTTATTATGAAGATGTATGTCCTGTCCTCTTATGTTTTAGAGCAAAGATTCTCAACTTTTTCCCCCACAGATGTACTTCATGAAATACTTGTTCCAGCAGACTACCTTCTAACTGGTACAAAAAACTGTTTTGTAAAAGTTATGTAAACAGTGTTGTACCATCAGCAACTGATTTAACTTTGCAACCAAAAGACAAAACGAAGAAAAATGAATAATAAAAAGAAAGAAATTAAAATGTGTGAGAATAAGTTAACAAGGAGCAAGGCAATAAATCTTTTCATCCATGTTGTGAAACTCAAACTGTTCGAACTCGTGCTTAGCCTGTTGGAAAATGGTTCAATAAGAGACAACAGCTGACAGTACCTGTAGCTGGTCCATGGTGAAGCTGGTTCTGGCTCTTTTAGTAGGTCGAGAATGAGCACCTGAATCATCCCTATTGGCTGATTCTTCATCTGCTTTTGGTTGCTCTGACGGGTAAGAGARAATGTGTTATAAAAAGCAGCTAGTATGAAATATAGATGCCCCAATAGAGGAGACTTGCTATATTTTCCCCATATTTTTCAGAATAAATCACAACAAATGGCTCTCACAATAAAATAAAGGTCTAATCAGAGCAAATGATCAGAAAGATCATGTAAAAACTGTGACTTGGTGTAAAAATTAAAAATGTGGATCAGTTTTGTAACTGGGTTAAAAAAGGATCATTTGATTACAACTGAATGTTTTTCTTTACGTTTTAAAGATGTAATGTTTTGACAGTCTGCAGTGTCAACTGAAAGTTAGCAAAGGTCTTACTGCACACAGATGATAAAGAATAAGATGTATTCATGATAATGTTACAGATTTATTGTAACAACCAGCTAACCTCGAGTCACAGACTATTTGATATGATTTGCTTATTTTCAAATAATGCATCGATAATTTTTTATCTTTAATTGTAGGTTTGAATAATACTTATTTTTCAGAAAATGCAAGTAAATAAAATAAGGGTGAGTTTAGATAGTTGTACTTGTCCACACTAACCATTTTCCTTAGCACGTTTGAGATTCTCCATCACCATGTCATAATGAGCCAGGCAAAAGACCCTGTTTTCTAGAAGGCCACATTCTTCTCCAGTAGAGAGCTGGCGTTTGCAGGAGGAGCAGGAGAAACATGCCACGTGGAAGGTGCTTCCTTTTGCTCGACGCACCCAGTCAGTAGAGTGGATGTTCCGGCCGCAGCGAGCGCAGCGGGTGCCATACCTCCTAAACCACCAGAGGAACACAAGGATTTGATTTATTTGATTTGATTTATTGATTTAAAAAGGAAAAGATTATTAAAAATCTGACTCAGCATAATTGCTGTTTTACAGCAGGTTCCTGTTCTGCAGCACATAAAACACTCAGAATTACAGCATCACAATCACATCATTATACACCATAGACACAAAGACAAACAAGCATACCAAATTTCAGGAGGGCAGCATTTGCAAAATAGGACGTCTAAATATGAGCACAACAAAAAGTGTCCAGCAGATGGCAGACAAGATTCTTCTTAAAGGGCTGTAGTTTTGAAATGGACTTTATGTTTTGAGGAACGTCATTCCATGCTTTAGTATAAACATAGAAGAAAGACCTCTGGCCGTAACAGTTTTTAAAAGTTGGTAATATCAGTTGTCCTTTTGTAACAGATCTAATTAAATGACCACTTCCAGAATTTGATTTGGGCAACAATGCACAGAGAGTTCCATAATTGGCACCTTGAAAGATCTGAAAATATAAATTAATACCACTTTACAAAACATAATTCAGAAAAGTCAAGGCATCAGACAATGAAAGAACTGTACAGTGATGAGTCCAAMCAGGAAGTTTTTTATGAATTTTGTAGGCCCTGTTGTAGAGCCTAACTATGGCTTCTAAGATTTCATTTGTTGTAAGAGACCAAACAGGTAAACAGTACGACATGGTTGAGAATAAGGAGAGAGGAGAATGCTGAAAAGATGTAGGGTTTATGTTCAGGTGTGCTGGGATCAAGTTATCAACAACCATTCAACTGCAACATAAACTATTAGTTATAGAGTTTGTAAAAAGTATTTAACATAGAAATACAAATCTAAATTCATTCCTAAAGTTTATAGTTCTTCCTAGGCATTAAAATAACACCTTTGCCAATGGAAGCACCTACTCCCAAATCATCTTCTATCAGAAGGTGAATCCCTAACTCCTGTATTGCTGTTTTTCTTTTTCTTATTTTCTTTAGTTAGTTTCTTTAGATAGTTTGCTAACAGACTCAAATAGTTAAAGACAAAGTAAAAAATACAAACAAACTTGCGCTGACCCACAGTTGATATTTGGATAGCTCAATTAATGACACCACAATCAAACTAAATTATGGCCATTTGTGTTTGCTAAGGTTGCACACATTCTTCACAATCCCTTGTTTTTAAATAGAATATCCCTTTTCTTTTACTTCCTCATTGCAAGGATCAACATTACACTTGACATTAAGACGATGAGTTTAACATACCTGAAGTAGTCAAGTTTACAAAAAACCTGTTTATCTTTCACATAACAGCTCACATGTCGCCCCAGTGATGCTTTACACACACTGCACGAGAGGCAGCGCACGTGCCAGCACATGTTGTTCACCTAAACGGGGGGAAGAAATACTTCATTTTAAATTGTTCATAACAATAATAAACACATGATGGCTTAAATATAAACTTTTAAAATACAATAAGAATACTTAAATTTACTACTCGGAAATTAGTTCCTAGTCTTAAAGCTTATTTTGTTTAAAGAAATACATACTTTTTAAAACCTGTTATTATATCCTAATCAGAAAATATATCAGCCAATGGTTCTTTTCTTTCCAAGAAGGACGTTTGGTAGTCTAGTAGTTGGTAAAGTTTAGTAATACTGTTAATAACTGTGATGTAAAAGAGGGAGTTGGACCTTAAGGAGGTATCTGTCCACAATTTCCTGTCCGCAGGAGGTGCACAAGGTTTTGTTATGTTGGGAGGTCACCAGTGGGACAGAGGCTGAGGAGGATGAGGAGGAGGACGGAGAGTAAGAGTCTTCCTCGAAGAGATCATCGGGCCCAGAGGAACCCTGCCAAACACATGATCAGAAACTGTAAAAGCCAGAACAAGGATTTGTTCATAACATTAAAGCAAAAGAATGCTTTAGTTTTTAATTATTTTTGTATGTTTCACCATGTTTAAAGTATTTGCTTAAAGGTTTTTGCTCTGAAATTCTTAAGTTGCCATGTGTTAAAACAAAATTGATGTGTCCTTTCAAAATAAAAGTTAGTTGTGCTAAATTGTAATATTGTTTATTATAAACAACTCAAATATAAATTTCTTGTTCATAGGCCTAAGAGAAATATATGAAACACAATTATATATACAAAAATAAATAAATTGTTGTGTTATGAACCATATACTGATGCTGGGCCAAAGCATTGTAAGCCTACATAAAACTATTTTTACAAAAAAATGAAATCTTGGTAACAATGTAGTCTGRAAAACAAAACTTTAACATGATGCTATAAACTACATGAAAAAYCATTTATTCACTGGTTTTACTTGCTCAATTTATTCAAGGTTACATCAGATTAAATTGACACACTGTGCCTTTGGTGAAACTTTTATATAATATTTTTTGGTAAATTGATAAACCATTCCTCTTAATTTAATAGAATGTAGTCTTTGTAGATTTGTGGGGTGGCTTTAAATGCTGTTAAAACATTTTTTTGTTTGTTTGTTTTTAGTCTTTAATGGATGAAATGTGTCTAGCAAAAGTTTGTGCTCAGTTTGTTTAATATTTGTAAACAAAACTCGGTTCATTAAAGTAAACATTTTAAGGATTAGCAGCATATTTAAAGTCTGGATTTCTTCGCGCGAGCTAATTAACATCCTTCTAGTTGGTCTCTCGGACTTTTCAGTCCAGCGCGTGAAAGAAAACCAAATTAAGAAGTTGTTAATTTGGAATTGAAAACACCTACTGTGTCATAAAAACTCTCCCCGAGGTGCAGCTGAGTGAAAACAGCCTCCTCATTCGACGGCCGGCCTCCCTCCGCCATGGCGTCAGGTCCACACCTGAATCCTGAATGAGCTCGCGAGTCGGAGTCCCTTTGTGTTTCCATGACAACCACCAGGTTGATTCAAGCCCAACGGGGAGGGTCCGGAAACGGGCGATTTGCGTAAACATTTTGTGAGCGTGCGTAAAGGCACAATGTGGTGTTTTTATTCATGGAGCTGCATGCTCAATAAAAATACTTTTACGCACTGACGTTTTTGTTCCAATCAAAGTTTTTGGTCAGCAGATTTTGCCGGAGAGGATCGCACGCACCTGAACGTCATTCTCACTGATTGGGCTCGCACGTGCACGAGATAACAGGCGGAGGCAGGTGATTTTAATCACTCATTAAGGCTTCTTCTGTGGCTGCGTTGTAATAAGATTAATTGTTTATACTGTATTACAGAACGGCTGTTCTAAACTGCATGACTTCATTGTAGGCCTAATGCAAATTATAATGACAATAAAGGCAATTCTATTCCATGTTCAAGTTTATACTCCCTTCTCTCAGCTAAACCTAGAAATAATTTAAAGTCATGTGATTTTTAGGGAAATTTGATCATCCTTAACATTAGTGAAAGCTGTTTTATAAATCATGATGACCTGAAATTTTCTGGCCCTTGATATTCAATTTACTGGCTAAAATTAACACTTAGGTTTTGTGGCTAATAAAGCTATTTTCCTCTTTTATAAACTAATATACATAAGAAAAAATAAAATAGAGCAGTAGAATAAAGTACACAATATTTATAAATGTATTACATGATGTAAAAGACAGTTAATAACAAATCTTTGCAGCTTATAAAAGAATATAAACAGCACATTATTTAAAAAAAATCCTGCCAGTATATTTGTTTACTTACCACACTGTTAGAGACACAGGTGAACATGTTCGGGGAGCATCCCGGTGCAGCCAGATGTTGCACAGCAGCACACTGGAGTTGATTTCTCTCTGGCAGTGCAGTGTAGTTCCAGCACTTCAGCCTCAGCCTCCTCCCTCGATGGGACAGACGTCCTCTTAGCAAAGAGCCAAACTTGTTTTGTCTTGATATTTTAAAAGAAAGCCCAGTGCACCTCCCACTGTGGTGGTCTGAGCCCGCCCTGCACCAGGTTCACATGCATCTCCACTGCAAAGATCCTACAAGTAGTTTATTTTTTTTTTACTGGCCCACAGGACAGCTGCTGGTTTATGTTGTTAAAAGCAGAAAAGACTGAATTCGAAGAGGTGTTGGTTAAGTTAGGACCCACAGAAAGGCAGATTTTGGGGGGCTAAAACAGCCATGCTTAGATAATGCTGTTGTCCATGATTTGAAATGTTTATTAGTGTACCAGTGTAATTATATGTCTATTATCAACAACATAACTGCTGTTTTTGTTAATTTTGTGTGATTATATGCCATTAAAACATCCTAAAAACAGCATTAATTAGGAGAAATGGTTAATTTATAATCTATTTAAAGGCCTAACATTACTTGAAGGAATGCTTATTGCTCGCCACTTTGTAGTGCCAGAGTTTAGTCATTTTACGCTAAAAATAAAAAGCTTTTTTGTCAAACATTATCATTATT